CACAGTGTGTTCTGCTTTAGGTCATTAGCTTCTAACTCTCTGCCTTTCCAGGCAGTGCAGTGCGCCCTGGGGAGGGTGGAGGGGAAACAGGAATGCAGAGCTGGGGGCGGGGCGCACAGGCAGGAGAGAAAGAATGCGACCCCTTCTCCAGGTCTAACTGGTTTACTCCGGACTCAGGTCTTGACCCAGGCTAGAGTCCTTCTTTACCTTGAATCCGCAGGAGAGACTGTAACACTTTAGAAGGGACCCTGGGGAAACAAGAGGCTTCTAACTGACTGACCTTGTAATCATTTCCCAGATGCAAGACACCTAGATAAAGCTCAGCCAGAAGAACTTCATAGAAGCACTCCAACGAATGAGGTCGTTGGGTGCCATGAAATCTGCAGAGGTGGCCATCCTCACTTATTCCAAAGACAGCCGAAAAGTTTTTGTAGTCTACGTGCAAATTCTGGCCCCTAGATACCCGGCAGAGAAGAGGGTGAGAGAGAAAAGGCTGGGTTGCAGATTCTCGCCACGGTTTCTAGTCTCTATCATCCTGAAGGAGCTTTTGCTCTCCGGGTTAAACCGCGGCACCTGTGACACGCTAGGCTGAGACTCACCTGAGAGCGGTTTTCAGCTTGCCAGTGCCTGGCTTTCTGGCTGCTCTCAGGTTGGTGGTCGCTAACCTTATGGGAAGATCAACAGAATCCACAGAAAGGGAGTCTCATTATCAGACTTCTTCCAAGAAGAGAGAGGGGGGAGGATCCAGGGGGGAGGATTCTGCCTACTGGTCCAGCTGGAAAGAGCACAAAGGAAACTTGTAAGGTCATGTTCAGCCGGGCGTTACTTGGTCTCTATGTCCTCGTCTGTTAAAAGGATAATATTATTACTTGCCTCGAGGGCCAAGTGAAATTGGTGTAAAAACTTGAATGTCCTTTTTGAATGTAAAATGGTGGGATCATTTTGAAGCTGATCCTAGGAGTCAATAGTGTTATTTAGTATACTGGAGGTAAGCTGAAAACCTATCAATCTGAGCGTGTTGGGTGTGAGCCTCTGAAGCCCCTCCACCCCCCCACCCCCTACCTCCCACTCCCCCACGCCCCTGAAAATACTTTCTTTTCCAGGGGTTTTGTCTGTACTTAGGGTGGATCTCAACAGATGTTGCCTGAGTTTCAGCAAGGTGGATCCATTCAGTGTTTGTGGAATGCTTAGTGCTTTTCTAACACAGGGAGGCTGAATAGGGCCTTATAAAGCTGATGTTCTGTTGGGGTACAGAGCCATTTGTCATATGTATTGCATGTGATAAGTGTGGTAATAGAGGATTCGCTGGTTTTAAAGTTGCTGGAGATGGGGGGAACCTTACGATATCCACTTAAATTCAAATGTCAGATAAACAGCAAATACATTTTTTCATAAGTATGTCCCAAATATTGTATGAGACATAATCATAAGAAAAAATGTTTATCTGAAATTTAAATACCACATGGAGCATTATACTGTAACAACAAGCTATTCAAATCCATTGGGGCATCCTGATATTTGGAGGACTTACCTGGGTGCCATGCAACTTCATAGCAAGATCGGCCTCGCTGTTCTGGAAAAGGGTAGCCAAACATTGATAGTTAAACCAAGGTAGGGGAGGTGGGTGGACAGAAGAAAAGAGGAGCATTTGGGCAATAGTATTCTGTGTAAAAAAAGGCTGTAGGAGGAGCTGGAAGCAGAATCCTGGGACATCTCCTACAGATGTGTGTAACAGCCTGCCTAATGCAGAATGGCCGTTGCAGAGAGACAGGGTAAGAGGAAGCCGGGGAGGTTATAGCTAATAGTTACATAAAACGTATGTGCCAGGTCCCGTTCTTCTCTGTACATATTCTACTTATTTGATGTTTACAACATCTCCACCAGATAGCTTCTATTGTACCCGTTTTTTTTTTTTTTTTTTGTTTGTTTGCTTTTTGCTTTTTGTTTTTTGTTTTGTTTTGTTTTGTTTTTCGAGACAGGGTTTCTCTGTGTAGCTTTGCGCCTTTCCTGGAGCTCGCTCTGTAGACCAGGCTGCCCTCGAACTCACAGAGATCCGCCTGGCTCTGCCTCCGGAGTGCTGGGATTAAAGGCGTGCGCCACCACCGCCCAGCTGTACCCGTTTTTTATAGATGAGAAAACTGAGCCATACATGAGCAGCAAAGATCGAGGTCACAGGTAGTAAAATTGAGCCTCCATTCTCGATGCATGCTTCAGTTACTTCAAGTGTGTGAAGTGCTTTGTGTCTACATTAAGGACTTAGACGTTACCCAAAGCCACTGAAGAGGGGAGATGTCACTTGCTTAAGGATCACTCGGAGGCTGTAGCTGTTGCTCAGTGGTCCAGAACTTGCCTAGAATGTGTGATGCCCTGGGTTCAATCTCCAAAACTGAAAAAATAAAATAGGGAGAGAAGGGCAAGTTAGGCTTAGTAATTCATGCAAGAAATGATTCGTGGAGAATGAGGGTAGAGATCAGAGATTTCAACTATATTTAGGAAATAGATTAAAGAGGTTTCAGTGTTAGAGGCATGGAGACACCGAAAATTCCGAGTCTGGCCTCCACACCCAGGCCAAGTGAGCAGGAGGTGATTAAAACAGTGAAACCTCCAGGAGTCTGGGTAAGGTCAAAAAGAACGTTGCAAGTTTCCAGCCAAGTCTTTTAGCTCAAACTCAACCAGGATCCAAGTATTAAAGGACACACTATTAAAAAAGAAAAAAAAAAAAAAAGAAAGAAAGAAAGGTACACACAAGTAACAAGTAGCCTTTTATTTTTAATTGTTGTTTAGTTAAAAAAAAATCCTCAATGAATATTGACATAGCACATAGCTCTGCTGTGCTTCATGGAATCTGACAGAAAAGACACCCCAAAGGAGGTTTTCTGGTTTAAAGCACCCCCACCAGCTATGAAGTCTTTCCACACACGGGAGGCTTTGCTATCTGTTTCAACCTTTAGCGCCAACAGAACCTTGATTCCAGCTGATTTAACTTGGATGTAGGCACTCCATCTAACAGTCGCTTCAAAGCTGAGGGCTAGAGCTGGGTGGGTGTGGTGGCTCACGCCGTTGATCCCAGCATGTTTTGAACTTAATGAGGGTGATACCTAGGCAGGCAGACCTCTGTGAATTCAAGGCCAGCCTGGTCTACAGAGCAAGTTTCAGGACAGCCAGGACAACCCTGTCTCAAAAGAAAACGAAAAAAGCTGAGCACTGGAATTTATTCCAGGACTTCTACCTGCTGCTTCCGGGAAGAAGCCCCTTCTCCAGTACTTGGGGTTCCTGGTGCTTCCTTCTGTAGACAGGAGCAAAGTAAAGTAGCCATCTCTGCATCAGCACGGTAGTCTTACCGCCTCGCTCCACTCGCTGAATGGTAGCTTGTGCTCATTGTTAAAAGCAATGTTTACCTTTACTAAATTATTTGCTCACTCATCAAATACTTATCCTCTACTAGTATCAGCCACCTTTTTAAAGATAAATTTTATTACATCTCTTTCCTAGGCAGTGGTGCTCAAGTATAATGGTGTATGTTTGGAGGTCAGAGAACAACTTGGGGGATTACTTCCTTCCTCCACGTGGGTCCTAAGGGTTGAACTCAGGTCACCAGGCTTGGGGCAACAACCTTGGCCCGCTAAGTCATCTAATTGGCCCATTTTTCTAAATCCAAGGAATATAACTTCAAATAAAGCAGACTAACGTTCCTACTCTTAAAGTGTTCATTTTGGAGGAGTAGACCAAATGGTCAAATAATATGTAGACATATATTTAATCTTTCAGATGGTGAGATAAGCTGAGAAGAAGAAAGGAGGGAGAAAGAGGAACAGGAGAGTGTGCAGAACCGGGGAGTCTTAAGTTGTCACAAAAATCCCCGTGCTGACAAGTGACATTGGAGTCCAGACCTGAAAGAGCTGGGGGATGGAGCGTGTGTGTTATGGGGGAAGAGCCTTTCAGGTCGAGGCAGCGGAAGCGAAGGCCAGGAGGCAGGAGCTTGTCTGGAGCAGAGTAACAGGGGTAGAAGCAAGAGGTACACACAGAGGTTCTGACAAGAGCACCCCCCCAACCCGGGTTTTGAAAATAAAATATACTGTCACAATTAATTTTGTGTATTTTCTTTTATTAATGGGATTTCCAGAAACCTTAAAATTACATAGATGGAGGTCAGTGAGATGGCTCGGTGGATAAAAGTCCTGGGTTCAGTGCCTAGAAGCCACAAAAGATAGAAGGAGAGAGGCAACCACACAAAATTGTCCTTCACCATTCATAGCCCCCCCCCCCATGCACACCATGTACATACAATAAACATAAGTTTTAAATTATGTATACGACTCACATCATATTCCTATGTATAGCATTGTTCAAGTTCAAACCAGACTGAGTATATATATATAATATATATATACACAGGTGGTAGAGAAGACACAGAGAGAAATGGACCCCACTGAAGAGGCTGCTGAAATAATCCAGGTGAGAGCAGATGGAGTCTAGGACCAGGACAGGGTTTGGAGAGGTTGCCAGAAGTGGATAGAGTGCAGGTATATTTTGACTATGTGCCAACAGGATTTTCGTAAAGCTATAGGGTGTGAGCAAAGGCTCATCCCAAGTGTCCCAGCCTGAGAAGCTGAAAGGATGGTATTGTCATTCGCTGAGATGGCGAAGACTCAAAGCAGAAGCTTGTATGAAGATGAGGATTTTGTGTGAACCTGTTATTCTGGAGATGTCTGTCAAGAACCCACATGGGGAAGATGAACAGGTATTTGAAGTTGGGGCCTCAAGAATAAGGTTGGGGGCTGGAGAGATGGCTCAGTGGTTAAGAGCACTTGACCTCTTCCAGAGGTCCTGAGTTCAATTCCCAGCAACCATATAGTGGCTCACAACCATCTGTATTGGGATCCTTCTGGTGTACATGAAGACAGAACACTCATATACATAAAATACATGAATAAATTAATCTTTAAAAAAGAAGAATCAAGTTGGGTGGGGGAAGAGAATTTATGTGTCTGCATGTTGCCTGCACACCAGAAGAGGGCATCGGATCTTATAGATGGTTGTAAGCTACCATGTGGGTGCTGGGAATTGAACTCAGGACCTCTGGAAGGGCAGTCAACGCTCTTAACCTCTGAGCCATCTCTCCAACCTGGCCCAATGTATTTTAAAGAAGCTACATGAAAAACAACTTTAATAACGTAAAACCTAATTTTTTTACAATGAAAGCTTCTTAACCATGATTGAATCTGGTTGTTCGTAGGTACAATTTATAAAACATACAAGGAGATATTTTATGAATAGGAAAGAGCCAATGATTTGGGGATTTATTTTTGCCCAGTTTGGAACTTCAGCCTAAGACAAAGCTCCACTTTCCTCTTACCCCAGCTCAGGGGTGGGGAAATGCAGGAACACTACATTTGCATTGGTACCTTCTTTTGGCAAACAAAACCAGTGAGTTGCTACCCACGTTAGACAACTTTGTGGGGCCCTTAGTAAACCTTTAAGCTCAGTTTGATGTCAATGAAAATTCTGTTTACTTCTGAATCTTTTCTTTTACCATGCTTAAGCTCCAAAACTGAGTGGTATGTAAAGTACTTGAAGTCAGACAAGTTTTACTGGTATTTGTAGACAAAGGGCAGGGATTTTTTTTTTTTTTTCAGGCCATTTTCTAAATCAGATGTTTGACTTCTATGGCTCAATGTCCACCTGGGGAAACGGCTCTCTTCTCATAGCCACCTTCCTGGTGTCTTGCCAGTTCCCAGGTCATGAAGGGTTCAGTACACACGCTCAAGTGTACCGCTTCCCTTGTGCGTAGATGTGTTCTCTCTCCCGCCCACCTGTGGCAATCTGTCCGGCACAGGCAGTACCCAACAATGGCTCTAAGCATTTACTTCCAAGTTAAGGCACTTGGGTTCCAAGCCCAGCTGCAGCCACCAGCTGTGACCCTTGGGCAAATCACACAGCCTTCTTGTTTTTCAGTTTCCTTAGCTGTTGATAAACAGGGTGTGGCGGCGGTAAGAGTAGCCCTGGAGACTGTCATGGGGACTACATCAGATGTCATCTGCTCATGAAATGTGCAACAGGACCTGGGCCTGCCACAATTTTTTGAGGGTCTAGCTAAGGTATAATATATATGTCTTTTTGCCACCAATGATGGCTGAGGATAGTATGTTTTTGTTGTTGTTTTCTGTTTGGGATATGTTTTTTTCTTCTGGTACCTTCTTGTGATAGCTAATCTTTGTTGTCAACTTGACTACATCTGGAATTAACCAAAACCCAAACAGTTGAGCACACCTGGGAGGGTTTTTCTTGGTTGGATTATTTGAGGTGGAAGATTCACCCTAAATCTGGTCCATGTCTTCTGGTGGCAACCCACATTAAAGGCCAGAAGAAGGAATCTTTCATGTTTGTCTGCTTGCTCTCTCTGGCAAGTTCATCTGTCCTGTCCCTGAGCCCTCCCTTCACTGGTGTTTGACCTGTCTTTAGGATTCCATCACAGACTGGGCAGCTCTCTAGGACCTTCCTGGAGCTCCAGCACCAGAGTGGGATGGCTGAGGCATTCGGTCTTGGGAACCA